GACTCTGCCTCAAGAACAGGATTTCCAGGCACAAATGACAGATGAACATAACTACGTTTCCACACTTTCTCAGACTGTAATTTCATGTACATATGTCTTTCACCAGTGCTGGAATCATTAAGGGCCTTTTGGAATGCTTTGGGTTGGAAGTATCCTGGTGTGCCCTTGTCATTGCTGGGGGTGCTGCAGTGCAAAGCCAGTCTTGGCCACCTCCAGCTGAACTGGGTTTCATGGAGAGCCTGGGACACCACTCCTCAAAGCCATCACCACTGCTGAATGCCACCTTCCTGCTGGCTTTCAGGGCACAGTGACTGTCCCTGCTGGGCAACTCCCTGGCTTCAAGTCACACTTGCACTTCTGAAGGATGCAATTTAAAAGCCTGACACTGATGGAATCTCGTCTTTGCTTACCAGGAGGCTGTGCCTTGGCAGCAGTCACTCAAACCCAGAACCAGAAACACTTTCCTTCACAGGACAGAGCTCAGGACACCAAGGAAAAAGCCCAATAATATACTTAAATCCCCAGGTCTGTACACAGAGGTTAGCTAAGGTACAAAGGGAAATCTGTAGCCTTCATTCCTATTCCAAATTCCTTTAAGGCTACCTGTGTCATCACTCCTATTTGCAAATGGTTCCTTTTCAATGACAACACAATCCAGATTTGGAACTCAGTGCCCTCGATCCGGACACGGAGCTTGGGCAACCGTGACACCTCTGCCTCATTTCTGCAATAAAGGTTGCTAATGACACAGATCCTGCTTGGATTAAAAACAAAGGGGAACTGCAGGAGCTAGTCAGGAAGCTCTGTGCTAAAAAACTCTTCCAAAGCAGCCTTTATTTTTTAATGAGCACATCTGCATGCACAACCCCTGGCAGCCCACGCCGCTCGGGGTGCAGAGCAGGGGATGCAGGAGTCGGGCATGCAAATATTTGTCTGTGCTGTGACAGCCCATGCAGCTGCCTGCAGACAGCTTAGGAATGCACACAAACCCCGGGTGCCTGTGTGGTTTTCTCCTTAGCGAGCTGCAGTGAGAGATTTTACATATTCTAAATGCCTGCACACAGCTGGCTGTGGCAGAGCCCTGCCAAGGCCCCGGTGACAGCTGAGCTGGCAGGGCTGCTGTGCTGCCCAGGCTGCCACAGCAACTGCAGGCAAAGGCCAGAACTCCAGGAGGAATTCTCAAGCCAGGATTGGAAGATAAGGCATTTAAATGAACTAATCTGCAGGGAGTTGCACGGAGTTCACATGAGTCATCTGGGTGTGGATGTCAATGTCTGGCCAAGGCGATAAGTGGATCCCCCCACCTCCCACACACAGGGTGTTATTCAGACATCACCTGATCTTCCTGGTGACTGCAGAGCCTCCAGAACCGGGGCCTTTGTTCCTGGGAATCACGGGAGGCACCCTCAGCATCCTTCCCCATTAACCCTGCTCCCAGCCCCTCTGTCTGGGTGCCCCTCTGCAGGACGGAGCAGGCACATCCCCGCTCCAGCCAGGAGAGCTGCACAGACACCAGGAGCTGAAGATCATCTCTGCCACCAAGAGCTGTTTCCTCACTGTCTGTGCCATTAATCTGATATGAAGGAGGTGGCTCAGGGATGCAGAGCCAAGGGCAGCTGCTCCATGGCAGCTGCTGGAATCCATTTGCCATCTCCTGGCACCACCAGCTGCAGGGCAGGGTGGCTCAGGGCAGCAGAGGGGTGGCACAGCCTCAGCTTCCCCACCCCAGCCCTGCAGCCCCATTCCCTGAGCATCTCCAGCCATTCCCAGCACAGATTCCTGAGATACCCCGAGTTTTACATCATCTGTGGCAGCAGGCACACGCTCCCCTCGCTGATGAAAGGGAATATTATCCCTGTTTACAGCAGGAGGAATTCCAGCCTCCATCAGCAGCCTGGACCTGCAGCTACAAGCCCAGGGCAGCCTGGCCCTGCGTGGGGCTCAACCAAACCAGATCCCAGAGCCACCAACAGCCCCAAACTGGTCCCAGAACAGGGATGTGGGAGGGAGAGCGACAGAGCTGGAAGTGAGAGTCACAGCAGCACTGTCAGAACAGTTAGCAGATTTTATTTTACAGAATCCCAGACTGGTTTGGGTTAGAAGGGACCTTAAAGCTCATCTCACTGGGCAGGGACTCCTCCCACTAGCCCAGGCTGCTCAGGTCAGATCACTGCTGGGTTTTTTTCATTTTGATTTTTTTGATCAGTCTTCAGTGCCCTAAACTCAACTCTATTTCCCAGTGTACCTGTTGACTTCTTTCCTCGTGATTTGTTTGAACTTAATGAGCTTCTGTCTGTGAAGAAATATAAAATTCACTAAGGAATTGCAGTTAATAATTTATTTCCAAGGCTACAATTTCTTTTCATGTGGGGCCAGGATCGTGAGGGGTGCAGGATGAATGCTATGGGTCAGATCCAGCTCTGCCATACCCCATACAGTGGGAATCCTCAAAACTGCCTTTCTGCACACATTATTTTTAGACAAGAAAGCATCAAATTCAAGATCACTCTTAAAGGTACCTGAATATTCACTAACTCATAAATGAAATTGTCCAGGATTCTTTTGATACCACAGTGCTTAAAATATCCTTAAAGCACTGTACAAGCAGCACTGGAAGCTCTGAACCTGCAGCTTGGCACAGATGAGGCTTTTAATTCTCTCACAAACTGACAGTGGATATCATTTAAGTGTCCTAAATTCTTTAATGTTTTTCTTTACTATTCTGTAGTGTTGGAACAACCCACAAATACTAAACAGCAAAAGCAATTTTTAAATTGTATTTTTTAATTTTTTTTTTCTTTCATTTACAGATGGGCAGAAATCCAAGAGCATTCTGAAGGCATTTAGTTGGGAGTCAGAGCACAGGTGAAACATTTGGGGTGTGTTCTGCCACCACAGTGGGACAGGAGCACACGATGCTCCTGAAGATGGGTACGGGCACAGCTGAACGCTGGTCCCTCGCACAGCCCGGGGAGGACGTGCCCCATCTCTGTCACTATCCAAGATGTTACAGTGCCACCTTCAGTCTGAAATACGGGAGGAAAATCCCTTTCAAAGGCGGCCATGCCCCCAAGGAGGCTTCCCAGGAGAGGCTGCCGGCTGCCACATGAACGAGAAGGCAGCACCTCCACAGGGCACCATGGAATCACTCGTGGAATTCACTTCATTTAAAGCTTCCCTTGGTCTGTCTTCTCTGCATTCGTGGGGTTCTGCCCAGAGAGGGTGAGGTTGGGGAGTCCCCATCCCTGGCAGTGCCCAAGGCCAGGCTGGAGCAGCCTGGGACAGTGGGAGGTGTCCCTGCCATGGACCTGGATGGGCTTTAAGGTCCTTCCCAACCCAAACCGATCTGGGATTCTATGAACACAGAGAGCTTGAGGAACAGATGAACCAGGCCCCACCCAAACTATCCCTAAAAACACCTTAAATGGGAAAAAAACCCCACTTCTGGCTCCTACAGCAGCATTTAAAACAGGTCTGGCAGAGAAACAGATTCATCATGTTTTACACCCAATTTTAGGGCAGAAAAGGAAGTTCTAATGTCAAAGGACACCAGGAAGAAGTTGATTTTCAGAGTAAGCTTTGCCAAATGGCTCCTCAGGAACCCATGGACTGCAGAGGACTCCAGAGCCAGGGCACAGCAGCCTGAGCCTGGGGCAGGATGGTGACAGAGCACTGAGCTCAAATCCACATTTCCTGCTGTTCCACACCCCACATTCACCAGCCCTCACTGAGACCTGCTCTCAGATCTTCATTTAAAACTGGCTCATGAAATGCAAACCCCACCAACTGCAGCCACACTCCAATCCTCTACCTAGAGCACATGGTTACATAAAATTGCATCTGCATGAGACACTCTGGCTATGCATAATTTATCCCTACTCCCATGCACACACAGTAATTAGCCCTTGCTGACACTTAATGAATGGGAATTCTCATCAAAGTTCTCCAGTTTTTGTGCTTCATGCAAACATATTCAGTGACTAATTTTTGGTTCTTATCTAATCCAAACCGTTCATCTGAAATAATGAATTGGTTGCCAAATGAAAAACTTTCTTTAAACTGGTCTTAACACCAACAAAAACACAGCACAAAATCATCTTTTAGAAGCAAAAGCACAACACAAAATTGTCTTTTAGAAGCAAAAAACCCTTCAGGAGTGCAGTGCTTCCCCCTGAAGTCATGCGTGCTGCGGGGGGATAAAGGAAGGGAGCAAAATAATCAGCCAGGCTGGAAAGCAGCAGTGATGCACTTGGTTATCTCACTGTGCTAATCCCCCATCAGGTGACTGCTCACAAGATTGCTTTAAGCCCTCATTACTGAGGTAGGAAGCCAGAAGTAGGACGGACACTTTGGTGACCCCAAAAGAACACGTTTGCCCTCGGGGAGGGCTCGGGGGGATGGACAGAGCCACCCCGAGGGAGCTGGCACCTCACAGATGTGCAAAGGGCTCTGCTCCACAGAAATCACACTGAAATTCTATAAACCAAACAGCTCCTGCTCCCCAGCCAGAAGACACAAATTAGTGACTGGGCTTCGGATGTAATTCCAGGAGCTCTGAACCTGCAGCTTGGCACAGATGAGGCTTTTAATTCTCTCATTAAAAGCCCTTCCAATTGAGTAGACATTAATTGTAGTTTTTCACAATAATAAGCTCAAATCATATGACAACAAATCCTGCAAGTCAGTTGGAGATATTTATACCAGGACAGGTTGTAACCTGTTGGTTGTGCTTCAGATACTTCCACCAGCTTGAAAATACTCTCCCTAAATGTGAATTTAAGGCAGAATAGCTTCTCTTCCCCTGATCCAAGCCACAGGAAGTACCTGGCTGTCATCACTCACTGTCACCTACTCCAGCACACTCACAGAGTGCTCTGGAGGCTGGCAAGTCACAGGTACATCTACAAAATAAATTAAATACAATACAGAGTACTGTACCAAATATTCCACTGGATTGGTCTAATCTAGGAAAAAAAAAAAAAGCAGAACTCCAAACTCACCTTGATCATTTCTGCCACGTAACTCTCTGGTCCTGTGTATTCTGTGGAATCCTTGACTTTCACTAAGACAATAAAGCACAAATAGTGCCACATGTTGTGCTCCTCCTTAATGTGCTCTTCAAAGGTCACTGTCTTGTTGTCAAACTTATCTCTCTCCAAACCTGCGAGAGGACACAGGGAGAGCCCTGAGTGTTTGCCAGCTGGGGACCAGGAAAATCAGCTCCAGGACAAAAGTGATTGCTGAAGTCTGCTGCACTTCTGCAAGTCACTGTCATTCTGGAATGGACACTGAATATCAGGATAAAATGTGACAAACACCCAGAAGAGGAGGAAGAAGAGGAGGAAGGACAGGAAGGAAAAAGAAGAGAAAGGAGAAGGAAAGACGAGAAAGAAAGAAGAGAAAGGAGAAAGAAGAAGAGAAACGAGAAAGAAGAAGAGAAAGGAGAAAGAAGGAAGAGAAAGGAGAAATAAGGAAGAGAAAGGAGAAAGAAGGAAGAGAAAGGAGAAAGAAGAAGAGAAAGGAGAAAGAAGAAGAGAAAGGAGAAAGAAGAAGAGAAAGGAGAAAGAAGAAGAGAAAGGAGAAAGAAGAAGAGAAAGGAAAAAAGATCAGACAAGAAAGAGAAGAAAAAGAGGAGGAAAAGAAGGAAGAGAAAGAGTAAAGTGTAACAAGTACTGCTTATATTTATTATACATAACAGAAAAAAATTGGTTAAAAAAGGCAACAACCCTGTAGCAAGCAGTTAGTTGGATTTCATAACACATCTCCTATTTTTGGGCAAACTGATAGCAAAAGCAACGTTTGCTTTGCAGCAAATTTCCAAAGGTTATCCTGTCAGGCTGTGTGTTATGCAACATGGCAGGACCATGTCAGTCAACCACAGCACCTCCACTCCCAACCTCCTGGTGGGAAAAGCTTCCACAGGCACGCTTGGAAAAAATGACTGCTCATAAAAATCCCTGCTGTTCCCAGAGGAAACTGTTCTTTGAGGCAGAGGAGAAGCAAGAACTGAAGTCTTGAGGAAAAATGGTATCCTGAGCATTCCCCATCTGCTCCTGCTGCCAAGCTGCAGTGCACGTGGTGCCCAGGAACATGAACTGGCTGAGGAATGCAAGGAGGAACAGCCAGCAATTCAAGGCTTTTTTCCTCTCAGTTTGCAGCTATCCCTGGCTTACCCAGAGTAACCCCTTCTTGTTAAGTGTGTCTCCACACTTACCACAAATAAAGCAAGTTGTTTTTAAAATTTCTTCTTTCTTCTGCTTTTCACTCCTTAAATCAGCAAAAGTGTCAATGATCACCCCAAAAATCAGGTTCAGGACAATGATGATGACCATGAAGAAGAACAACAGGTCGTAGATCACTCTAGCAGCAAAGAGAGGTTCCTGCAAGATACATTTTGGAATTATTAGCAGCCCAATTAGGAACACATCTCAGCCTTATCACCACCCTGCCCCACACACCCCTTTGCCTGAGATTCTCCACTGCTGATGCTCTCCAAGGGGAACTCCATTCAAAACATTAAATTAAAATAAAATGCAAAAATCACTGAAGGAAAAGCCAAATTAGTCAGGTGCCAGTGTGGGATCTCTGCAGAGCTGCTCTTCCTGTGTCCAAGATTTTGGACTTCTCTCACTTTCACAAGAGAAAAAAACTCTTCTCTCACTCACTGAAATTTGTTCTCATGCCTCCCTGAAGCCCTTCCAAATTATATCCTTATATTAATCTGCAGTACATCAACAGAGGATCAGTGTGGACCATAAAGTTTTAAAATGGAATTTAATATCATTAATTGCATTTAACAGCCATTTAAATGAACACTAAGGTGGACCTTTCAGTACACATTCCACATTTACTGCAGGCCAGAATATCCAAAATATCCAGCCCCCATTTTCACAATCATCCTGCTAGTCAAGTGCCAAACTTATTATTAAGAATTAAGTAACTTTGAAGGCTAAGTTTTAGAAAAAAACTTTGAAATGGCAGGTAAAACAAAAAAGCACTGCCCCCAGTGAGGCTTTGGGAGTGACAGCCTGAGCCTCAGATCACAGAACCAGCACAGAGTGGCAGAATGGGTGGGAAGGACATTAAATCCCATCCAGTGCCCCCCCTGCCATGGCAGGGACACTCCCACTGTCCCAGGCTGCTCCAGCCCCAGTGTCCAACCTGGCCTTGGGCACTGCCAGGGATCCAGGGCAGCCCCAGCTGCTCTGGGCACCTGTGCCAGGGCTGCCCACCCTCACAGGGAAGAATTTCTTCCTAAATGATGGACACAAAAGCTTAGACAGCAGTCAGAGGGGGAGCCAGAGGGGTGTTATGGAAAATTCCTGCTGCTTAGCCTGGTCCTCACTCTGATGACAGCTCCAAACCACATCATCCTTCCTCCCCCACGCTCCCACCAGCCCAGCCTGGTCCCTGTGCTCTCATCCCTCCCATCTGACACATCACCTCTCCCTAGGGATGCTCCCACAAAAGCTCCTGGCATCCAGCAGCCACCTCAGCATTGTCCTGAGCCACCTCAGGCTCCTCCCTCACTCATGTGTACTCATCTCCTTCCTTCAGCTCCTCAGCTCTCCCATTCCTGCTCTCTGGACATCCCAGAAGCCGTGGAAGCCTGGGAGAAGTGGCTGGTGCTCAGTGTGTCCCCAGGATGTCACCCCAGGGGCAGCACGTCTGTCCCCGTGCTGGGAGCAGTGCACACACTCTCTCCCAGCAGAGCAGCTGCCAGCCCTGCTCAGGAGCACTCCTCCACCCCCAGCCCTGGTAATTTACCTCTTTGGAAGGTTTCCTGAGCACATCACCTACTCCACCCCCGCTCCTGAGCCCGTGACTCAGAACAGTAACAATGCACATCAGCAGCGTCTCGCACGTATGCTCCTTGTTCTCTTCCTCCATCTCCTCAGTGATCAGCTCTGGGAACACAGCAAGCAAAGACACGTTTCACAGCCAAGATTAGCTCTGAATCCTCCTCTCCATTCTTTGCTGGGTATGCTCTCTCCCCCCCCCTCAGACTGCCAGCCTGTGCTGCAAATCCCTGTAGGTTCATTCCCCCAATATCACAGAACAGTGTGGGTTGGGGGGATCTCTGCAGATCATCCCTCCAACCCCTGCCCAGCAGGGTCACCTGGAGCAGTGACACAGAACATGTCCAGGTGGGTTTGGGATGTCTCCAGAAAGGGAAACTCTGTGATTCCCTGAGCAGCTGCTCCAGGGCTCTGCCCCCTCCATGGAAAGAAGCTCTTCCTCATGCTGAGGCAGAACCTGTTTTAGTTTATGGCCACTGCTCCTTGTCCTGTCACTGGGAACCACTGGGAAGGGTCAGAAACCATTCTCTGACACCCCCTGGGGATATTGTATGGATTGATGGGATCCCCTCTCAGTCTTCCTTGGACTAAACAGGCCCTGAACAGTCTCTGCCCACAAGGAAGATGCTCCAGACCCCTCCTCATCCCGTGGCCTTCCCTGGATCCCCTCCAGAGCCCCCCCAGGAGCAGATCTCCTCCCTGCCCTCCTCTCCCCACCACCAGTTTTCCTTTGTGCCTGAACTGCTGCCTGTGACTCGGTGCAATCTCCTTCCATCCCTGCTCGCATGCACAGCTCAGCTCAGCAGATGCCTGTTTATACAGAACCCGAGCTTTTTGACAGCTCAGAGGACAAAGTGTTGCCTCTTCCACTCTCCCCTGGTGCCTGACAGATTGCACAGCCTTTGGGCTGCACTCAAAATGGCAACTTCCACTCGGAGCTTTCAAATGGCTAAAAGATCACTGCTTGTGGAAACAGCATTCTGCTAGAAAAGCAGCACACCTCTCCTGACCTTCTCTTCGCTCAGCTCCAGGCTCCAGCTTCACTTGCAGAGCTGCTAAAATCCACTCCCTAACCTCACACACTCCCCTGTACCCATTAAACATCTCACAACTTTCGTTTCATGAGCAGATCCCACCCTCCCACAGGCAGCTCTGGAGAGGCCCCAGTGCCTGAGCAAGCCTGAAATAACCAAACCCCGAGAGCAGTGGCCAAATGTGGGGCACCACGAACACCCCTGAGCACACAAGACCCTGGCACTCTGCTGGTTATTTGTGATACAAAAACATGCCTGAGTTTTCCTTCCTGCAGCCAGAATGAAGGAGCTGAAAGAAGCAGCTTTTCCTGCAGCAAGGCTGAATTTTGCTGTCTCAGAGAGGAGCCCTGAGCAAAGCAGAGCCTTCCTCCTGTGAGCAGGGGCTGGTGGCCATCGTTGACCTTTGATGGCCATGCAAGAGCTGCCCTTCCCAGAGACACTGGGATGTTCTGTCTGCCCCTCCCAGCCAGCACCGTAAATCTCCCACATGGAAATTACATTTTCTAGAAATAAAACTGAAATATTTCAATACCCAGGCAATATCTCACTTTCTTGATCTCCAAACCCCCCAAACCTATCCTTGTCTACTTAATCCATCGAGCACTTCCTGCCATGATATTAAAACAGTTTCCTTAGTTTGAGACAGAACAATGCTGCCAATAAACCATATTTCACAGGGCATTATCCTCTGAGATCACATTTAATAGCCTCATGTTTTAAAATAATAAACTTTGCAAAGAGGCAAACTGCATCTCTTCCTTCTGCAATTGATGCAGAAAATTAAAGAGTATGGCAGTGTTTTATGAGGTCTGGTTTAGGTGTAAGTTTCTCTGCTTTAGTCACTTCATGTAACTGATGTTATTTATGCTGCTGGCCTAAATTAATCCTATTTCAAGTTAATCTCGTGATAGCTTTGTTCTCAAATTTACTGCACAGGATTTTCTAAAGAAGATATTTTAATTGAAGGTGATTAACTAAAAAAAAGAGTGCAAACTCAGGTGTGGGTTAGGAATCCCAGAGAGGTACTCACGGTCGGAGGGAATGATGGAGGAGCAGTTTTCACTGCTCCCTGCCTTGCACAGGTCTGAGTAGAGGAACTCGCCAGTCATGGTTTCACCGGGCTCTGTGTGATCTGAAACCACAAAATGCTGCATCAAAGGATGCTCCAACACCTTGCAGGGTGACTCCTCAGGTGCTGGGGTTCCCATCACACTCAGAGTGCAATGACAAGGCATTGAGAGCAGTATCTTACCCTAGAGTTTAGAAGGGCACAGTTTCTTTCTGATTTACACATTCCATGGCTTTAAATTCAACCACAAAAGCTTTTTTATTTCACAGAATCCCAGGCACACTGAGGCTGGAAAAGACCTCCAAGATTCTTCATCTAGTGGCTGATGCCCTACCTCGTCACCAACCTAGAGCACTCAGTGCCACATCCAGGCCTTCCTTGGACACCTCCAGGGAGGGGCACTCCAAACCTCCCTGGGCAGCCCCTTCCAATACCTGACCAGCCCTTCCATGGAGAAATTCCTGCTGCTGTCCCACTGGGCACCCCTGGCACAGCTGGATCCCTTCCCCTTGTCCTGCCCATGCCCTGAGGAACAAGAACCCGTTTTGTCTCCAACACAGCCCACAGGAACGAGCTGCTGCTACTGACCTGGCAGCAGGGTCTCGTTGGGGAGCTTGTCCACTTCCAGGATGAAGTCATCCTTGAAGAAGAGGTAGCCCACGATGGAGAACAGGTAGACCAGGATGAGGGCCAGCACGGCCGTCAGGATGATGGAGCGCCCGTTGCGGGTGACGCTCTTGATGACGTTGAGCAGCGTCTCCTCCCGGTACACCAGGTCAAAGAGCTGGGGACAGCCAACAGGAGCACATGGAGCAGCAGCACCTCTGCTGCCATCGTGTCCTGGCCCGTGCGCTGGGGAGCAGCAGGAGCTGAGGCAGCTGTGCCCTCCCCTGCAGCAGCAGTGCAGCGGGCAGCGTTCCTGCCGCACCACGCTGCCAGCACAGACTGCTGCCTGGTTTTGTAGTATTATCTACCCCCTCACAGCCTCCAAAGAGCTCACTGCAATTTGCAATTTGTTGTTTTCTTTGAATCTTAATTTACTGAGCATTTTATTAAATAAGTGATATTTTTCCCCAAAATCTGTGTTTGGATTTCTGTGCTGATGTTTCTTTCATTTTTAACTGGGTCTGGGACAACCCACAGCAGAGTCCAGGCAGTTGTGGCTGTGATCCTCGTGGATCACAGGACAGGTATTTGTTAAATTGGACCTCCATGAACACAGCAAATCACCAGCTCAGGTCCCAGAGGATGTGGCAGACACCACCCAAAGCCACAAAAATAGCCTGTTCTGAATGGGATTTCAGCTTTGCTTCAGCTGTTCATCTTCTTCATCTTCTCCACCACCACCAGATCCCCTCCTTCAGTGTTATCCTAGAAGCACTGTGCTGTGCAAGGTGAATCCCACCCCAGCCAGAGGGAACACATGTGCCAGGGCTGGAGCCTGGATACTGCCAGGGAGACACCCCAAAGTCATCCAGCTGCTCAGAAAGCACAGACACTGTGCTACAAATTATTGATGATAACACAGCAAAGCATCTCAGCCCATCTCATCCTACCCCATGGCAGGGACACATCCCACTGTGCCAGGCTGCTCCAGCCCCAGTGTCCAGCCTGGCCTTGGGCACTGCCAGGGATCCAGGGGCAGCCCCAGCTGCTCTGGGCACCTGTGCCAGGGCTGCCCACCCTGCCAGGGAAGGATTTCTTCCTCCTATCTCATCTAAACCTCTCCTCTTTTGGTTTAAATCCATCCCCCCCTGTCCACCCCTATCTGTCTATGCAAGAATCAGCAGAGGGGGTGTGGCAGGAGTCCTGCTGTCTCCCTCACTAACTTCTCCTAAAGAAAACCTCCAGTCTGTGACTATTCCCAGTGCTTGTTCAACAGTTTCCCAGCAGAAAAACAGATATTTTCCCAATTTTCTTGGATATGCCCAAGATGGGACTTCACAAACAGAGCAGAAGATGTTCTGAGGGCCAAGCAAACACCCACCAAGAGGCTGTAAAAGAACTCGTGCACGAAGAGCCCCAGGGCACAGATCAGCAGGTAGAGCAGGTGATAGAGGAACTCCACGTCCATGATCATGGCCTTGTATCCTCGCGTGAAGGTTCCGCAGTTACCCACAAAACTCATCAGGAAAATGATTTTATTACACACCTAAGGAAAGATCGACCAGAAATTAGTTACAATATCAGGGAAAACAGACTGGTTTTTCAAGCTGGAGGTAAGTTGGCACTTTGCTGAGCAAGCTCTGCCAAGGCCTGACCACCTTTCCATGAAAAAATTCCTGCTGAGTCCAACCTGAGCCTCCCCAGCCCAGCCTGAGGCCATTCCTCTCCTCCTGTCCCTGTTCCCCGGGAGCAGAGCCCAACCCCCCTGGCTGTCCCCTCCGGGCAGGAGCTGTGCAGAGCCACAAGGTCCCCCCTGAGCTCCTTTTCTCCAGGCTGAGCCCCTTCCCAGCTCTCCCATCAGACTCACAGCGCATCATTTAGTGAGCCTCACACATCCCCATAAATACTGAGGCACTTTGGGTGAATAACCTCGTGCTTTAGGTCACAGACTCCTCCCCGTGCCTGTCTGAGGCTGGAGCTGTTCCTACACTGAGCAAAACCTCAGAGCTCTGTGTGCAGCCTGGGGAACCAGGATTAAATGCACGACTCAGAGCACTCGCGCGAGGAGCAGCCCACGGAGGGAATCACTCCTCCCAGCAGCATCCCAGGCTATTTCTGCTCCATGTCTTCACCAGCAGGTAAAGAACCCTGACACCAGGGGCAAGAGGAGGTCAGCAAAGCCCAGTGGTTCTTACATTGAAGGCTCCCAGCAGGAAGAGGGTGGGCTGCAGGCCCACGGAGAAGATGAGGCGCAGGATGGTGGAGGCGATGAGGGCGCGGATGCCGTGGGGCTTGGGCAGGGCGATGACGATGGCCAGGGAGATGAGCATGGCTGTCCACAGCAAGCCAGACAGGTGGGGCTCCAGCGTGCCTGGGCAGAGGCAAAACACACCCGTTCCTGCACGAGCAAAGCCACCAGGGCACTGCCTTTGGTGGGGCATCACCCACCCCCTTCAGCCATCCCTGGTGGCACAGCAGCAAAGCTGAGCCCACAGCCTGCAGCAGGCTTTAATTACAAACTCGTCACTAAACCCTTATGCAGGTGGTAAGTGCTACAGGATCTTCATTGTGGTGTTCACACCTGAGTGCTGAGGGCCCTTTGCAGCCCCTTTTGCAGTGCCTGGGCAGGTGAGGACACTCCCTGACACTCCCCCGATGTGCTTTTGGTCAGACCCTCACACCCATTTTTGGCATCTCTTGCTATTTCTGGGTCTATTTAGACTGTCCCCTGAGACTGGCTGCTTACACAACACCCAGCCTGTGCAGCTAAAAATACACTTCCCTGAAAGAGCCATAAAAACGATCCAGCCCAAAACACCATTTACCCGAGGTTTATGCAGAATGTCAGACACCTCTTCCTCAAAGATAACTTTAAAAATTTTTGCCTTCAAGCAACAGGTTCCTCAACAGACAAAAAAGCAAGATGCCCCAAATTTCACAGCACTCTGCAGCCCTTCTGCAAGCACATTCTCACAGAACTTGTGTCTGACTGGCAAGATCCTCAGCCAGGGCTTTTCCCCCCTGCTCCCAAATTCAGGCAGCTTAGGAAATATTACTCTCATCTGACTACCACGAGCAGCCATTTAATCTTGTTCAAATCACTGCAGATTAATAAAGACAGCAGAGGATGGATGGAAATTAAAAGTTAATAAGCATAAAGTTGAACAGCTGTTTTGGCTGCCTGGGGGGAGTTTGGGCTCCTGGAGCTGTCACACAGCACAAGGTGCAGAGCTGGGAATGGAGTCACTGGGTGGGAACAAGCAACAGCACGGGGAGGGACAGAGGAAATGTGCAGCAGCTTAGTTAGGAACGACTTATCTAAAATCTAAATAAGATTTATTGGGAATTCATTTGCTTTCGGGAGTTGCAGCAGCTCCCAGCAGCGCTGAAGAAACACCTGGAGTGAGGGAGGCACACGGGTGCTCCCTGAACACCCAGCAGGCAGGGCAGTGCCAGGACCTCGTGGGAGCCACTGTGCCACCTCAGGGCAGGGCCACAGGCTGCCCTCTCCTCCCAGGGACAGAGGCTGGGAGCAGGGTCCTTGTCCTGGCACACCGAGCTAAGGGCGCTCACTCCTCACCTTGACCCCAGAGCTGGAGCACGGGGACCCCTGCACAGCCACAGGCAGGAGGAACACACAGCCAGCAGGGAGCTCTACCTGTCTCTGGAGTTCTCACCATTCCAGTACCCAGTTCCAGGCATCCAGTTTTGTTTCTGCTCCTCAAGTCAGAAGTTTTACAGCTTCTGCTACTGTCAGATGCTCATCAGCTGCTCAGTTCACCGTGTCTGAGCAATTCAAGACACTGACAACTTCCCCCAAACAGTCTGTTTGGAAGAGTCTTTTTTTTTTTTTAAGCTAAATATAAGATACACATCTATTTATTTATTTTGCTTTTTGGATTCCAACTAGGAGAGGAAGAGGTTTTATCAAAATGTTACCTGATAACCAAAGAATTTCAAATATGTAGGGTAGGGCATCTTCAAAATGCCAAAGGATCCCCCCACCAGTCTTGCAGTTTGCAATCTCAGGGAACTCATTTAACCAGCAGCTTTCCTGGCAGCCATAAATTCAGAGCTTTTAACTTGGGATCTTTGCAACCAGAGACAGAAATTCAGTTGCTCTTTGGGCTTGTTAGAACCTTCCAGCCAGGACCTGGGCTGTCCCCACTCTGGGTGTGACACTGAGGAGCAGCAGCTGCAGAAGGTAAAACTGCTCTCTTCCCCCTCTCAGGAACTCTGGAATTCGGTCTAAACCATCCCTCTGACAGGCTTTTTCAGGATGCAATCCCCCTACACACAAGGAAGAAGCTCCTAGCTAGACATCCCCATCACTGTGCAAGTGATGCATGTGACACTGCTGAGAACATCCCTGTGGATCTCCCACCCTGCCCTGCCAGGGTGCAGCCCTGGGGAGAGGCTGGAGCTGCTCAGTGCTCACTGGGCTGGCTCTGAGAGCCACCAGGGACCTGTCACTGAGCAATCCCACCGTGCCAGCCCAGAGCTGGTGGCAGGAATGTGGCACCCTGCTCCCCTGGGAATGCTCTGCTCCCCACTCAGGCAGTGCTGAATGGGCTCCTCTCCCTCGTCCTCCAGGGATTCCTGCTGGTCACTGTTCCCCTGCCAAGGCAGGAGGATGTCACCCACCCCCAGCACTCACAGGCCTCCTGCAGCACCAGGAAAAGTGTGTGGAAAATGCCACTAATAAACTGCAAGCTCAAGGAAAACAACACGTTCAACATTTCACCTATTTTTAGCTCAATCCTTAATTACAGGACTTTAAACTGAAGTGAAACAGTGGAGCAATTAAAGGTGGATGTTTGTCTCAGGTAATTTTTTCCCCTAGGAAAAAGCATAGCTCTACATTTTCCTTAAAAATGCCTCAAGAAAGAGTAAGAGAACAGCACAATTTAAAACAAGGCAATTTAAAAAGCCAAATTCTGCCCTCACTGATGTAAACAGCAGTGCATAGACACGAGTGGGGAGAGCAGAATTGGGCTCTTTTTAGGCAGAATTATTTGCTCTTTTTAGGTTAAGCATCAGTACCTCCTCGAATCCCCTTGAATGGGTAGAAAAATGCCACGAGCAGGTTCATGAGGACAGCCAGGTTAAAGGAAATGCTGCTCCAGAAGGACATGTTCCGAGCACACCAGTACAGGAAAGGCTGAGCTGAAAGACAGAAAATTGTTTCTTTTTAACAGAGCCTTTAGTAAAAATAAGAGGTCTCTCTATTAAAAAAAAATATCACCACCAAAACAAGTTTGTTTTCAGTTTGCCCAAAAGCACAGCATCAAAAGTAGTAATATGCACGGCTTATTCTGAAGTTTATTTAATTATCCTTCATCTTGAGGGCCCTTCAAGTTTCCTAGATGGTGTTTTAAGGCAAAGGATCCCTGTTTCCAACATGGTTTAGCAGCAGCAAGAGAACAAGCTGAGAAACTGCAGAGATCAAGCACTTGAAGCTTCCCCTAATAATATCCTTTGTACTCAGAGTCACCCCAAGAACAATTTGGAGGGGGAAAATGAGCTCCAGCCCCATTGCTCTGTGTTCTGCTGCTGGCAGCAGCTCACCTGCACCACACACTGTCACCTGCAAATTCATTTTCTGCTGAGAACAGCCCAAAATAGCCCCAGAATAACCAGGGGTGAAGCTCCCTGGCCTTCCCTCTGCCCTGGGGGCAAAGGACTCAGCACATCTGCACAGAGCTCAATGTACAAGCAACAGCACATTTAAATCCTTAATGTTACCCAGAAATACTTCTCAAAAAGACTCCTAATTTTAATAATCCCTGCAGCCAGAACCAAGAGGCAGAAAGCAGAAAGATTCCTTTGCTGAAGTGGTCGTGAACCCAACAAAAGCTGCCTTGGGTAATTCCCTCTGCATCCAGGCAAAATCCCTCTGATTTCAGCTCCTGCAGGCTTGCTGCACAGCAAACTGTGCCCTCCTGAAATCTAGAGTAGTGAAAAAAAATCCATTAAAAATGCTCTCAAAGGGAAAGGACTGTTTTGCCCTGGTGGAAGAAGGCAGCTGGTTTAGATATCAGAGAGCAAAAAAAAAAGGCTCTCAGTAAAATTTAGGAACAAGCTGAAAATTCAGACTTTGGGGCTGGGTGATAATTTCATTTATTACATGCAGCAGTTCTGAGCCTGAGGCAGCTGGTTTAGATACCAGAGAGCAAAGAAAAAGCTCTCAGTAAAATTTAGGAACGAGCTGAAAATGCAGACTTTGGGGCTGGGTGATAATTTCATTTATTACATGCAGCAGTTCTGAGCCTTGCAGTAGCCACCACCTCTCTCCAGAAAACTCCCTCCTCTAACATCCCCAGCTAACAAAGAGGTAAAGAATTGCACAATATCTGCACGTTCTCAATTTCCTTTTAACTGGAAGAATGTGCAACCAGGTTTAATTAATTTCTGTGGAATTATATAGGGGTGAATATAAAGGTCCAGGTTTAACTTTAAACCTTCCTTTGGTGATGGACACTGACTCTGCCTGTGCAGTGCTTCTGCCTGGCTTTGGCAGCTCATTTCCATTCTTAATTAACAATTAAGAGACTTGTGGTGCTCAGATTATAGGACAGTACTGTGAGCTGAAGGGAGAAGTACATGGATCTTTATTTTAGAAGTCTTTTTGAGGGTTGAATAGACTCTAACTGGCAGCACATGAGCACACAGAGCACTGCCAGAGGTCACAGCTCCAGCACAAACTACTGAAAATGTGAGAAATAACTCTACAAATGCAAAAAATGAGAGGCCAGACAAGACCTGGCTGTTAGAGACAGAATAAATGATCCCAGTTTTTTCAAGGAAAAATAAAATATTCTCCAGTTCTGCAGGTGGATCTTGGCTAATTTGTGGTCTGCTGTTAATGATGGATGCCTTCACAGCTTGCTTGGAGACAGCCTCGAAGACAAAGTGACTCAAACAACAAAATCCAACAGAATATATGGATGCTGTAGAAGTGGCAATTTGTTTAGGATGTCACACTCCCGGATTTCTTGCAGAGCTCTCAGATTTTTGGAAGCAATCCCACATCTGCCCCATGAGGGGGTTCCAGAGCAGAGCTGCTCTTGCACCAGGAGCTGGAGTGGAGCTGGTGCAGGGCAGGGGAGCAGCAGTGCTGTCAGATGGCTGGGGTTGAGTCCAGCAGGGAGGAGCTGCCTTATCTCACATTTCACAGGGTCACTGCTGCTCAGTCCTCAGCACTGCCCACTGAGCCTCAGCAGCATTCAGCCTTCAGCTGAACCAGAACAAATATTAAGCAAATGAACTAAAAGGTTTACTGGGGGATGTGGGGGAAACTGTGTGAATTAAAATATAATTTTGAGGGATTTCCCAGCTGCCAGTGGGAACCTCAGAGGGAAAATCAGTGCTTGAAAGTACCTGTGTTCAGACATTTTAGCATCACAGGGATGGAAGGGACTTATCAACCTGTCAGCCAGTCTACTTGCCAAAAAAGGATGAATTCTGCTTTACAATTACTCAGAAATCCATCTTGAACTTGTTCTTAAGCATCTCCATCCCTAGAGATGCCCTAAGTCCACAGCATCTTTATGGCTGGAAAAGACCTTTACAACCACCAAGTCCAACCTTGCTGCATTCCCCAGCCTTACCCCCCCTGCATCCAGCACAGCCCACTGCTCTCTTCAGCTGGGTCCTCCCTGCCTCCTCCTCATTTCAGCTACTCCTCCACACGTTTGTTCCTTCCTGCTGGATCTCAAAGAGGACGACCTGTGCTGCTCCTTCCCACTGTGCCCTGGATCCCCTCCAGAGGGTCCCTGTTGCTGCAGTATTCAGCCAGCCCTGCTGGCAGCTCCCTGGCAGGGAGCAGAGGAGCAGCCCTGGCAGCCCACCACCGAGGCTGCTGCCACACTGGGGACCAGCTGCTGCCCAGCCAAGGCTTCAAACCCCCAAAGCCCGACCTCGGCGCTCGCGTGGAGCAGCACTGACCCACCTCGCAGCTTCTTCTGCCAGTTCATCTCGTTGAAGAGGTCCTCAGACTTGAGGAAGAAGTCGTTGATCTTGCTGCCCTGCTCGTCCCTCTCCGTGGTGTAGTAGATGCGCAGCTTGGACTCCTTGGTGAGGAACTCGCAGATGCTGGGCACGGGGAACACGATCTGCTCCATGGTGCGGTCCGACCTGACAATCTGCACGGCAGCCTCGTCAGCCCTTCCCACTCCTGAGTGCCTTTACTGCTTGGTTTTCTGCCTGTTTCGCTCCCCATTTCAAAGCAGCAGACACATTTCCAAGGAACAGCAGCTTAACACAGGTTTCGTTTAATTTACCTTTCAGAGCAGGTCTATGTTTAGCTCCAGAACTGTAATTTCTATGCTGTGGTCTTATCCTGGAAGCTGGGATTTCCAAGGGGCCCACAGAATCCCGCATCAAAGCTGGGATGGAGTTCAGAGCAATGTGATGGCCCAGCTCAAGAAAGTTGCCAAATTTGAGCCATAGGCAAGTACAAGGAATAACAGTTATATCTGTATTGCTCATTACAGAGTTCTGGGAAGTCACAGAACCATGGACTGGTTTGGGTTGGAAGGACCTTAAAGCCCATCCAGTGCCACCCCTGCCATGGGCAAGGCCACTTTCCATTGTCCCAGGCTGCTCCAAGCCCTGTCCAAGCTGGCCTGGGACACTTCCAGGGACAGAGCAGCCACAGCTCCTCCAGGCAATCTCCGTATCTGTGAACATTTTACTTTTATAAAGCTCTTAGATGGCACACGAGGCCAAACTGTCATTTGAATCCAGAAAGAGTGGCAAAAAGCTATCACAAACTTTCTGGATTCAGCAACAGCACCGGCCAAAATGTAACAGAAGTGAAGCCACACTTCCTGCTGCCAAGAGAGCTCTGCTCAGCTCCATCCCCGAGCCCACACATGACAGCTCAGGAATAGCTCCCCCCTCCACTGCCAGGGAATTAAATAAATAACTCTCTCTGCATGTTCTGTATCACAGACAACAGTCCACACACAGGCGGGCAGAGCCATGGCAGCACCATGAATAATGAATGCCCTGGGGCTGCCCTCCCCGGGGCTCAGCCCTGGGCTTCCCTACCTCGATCTGCGCCGTGTGCTTGGCGTAGAACTCCAGCGCCTCGTCCCCCTCGATCTGACCCCCTGGCTTCAGCATGTTCTGCAGCTCTTTGTTGTGACGAGCCAACTAAAATAAAGGAATGCACAGGGAGTGGGAGACACCAGATGTCTCTCTGTGATATTAAATTTCTGATTTTTGGCATAAAAAAAGAAATAGTACGCAGTCAGCTGCTAGGAAAGGGCAAAGTTGACAGAAGGCTTGTTCTGTTCCAACCAGACACCCTGCAGCTCTATTTTGGGAGCAAGTCAGAATGATTCAAATATGTATTTCTTTAATGCCAGTGTTGTACTCCTCTTTTCCCCATCCTCTCCCACCCTTTGCCTGGAATCTTTCTGATCACACAGAAATTCACATTTGGTCTGTCCTTCTACACCACCCCAACTCAAAGGTGTGCTCATCACCCAAAGATCCAGGCAGGGACAAAGAGAAAACCTGCATCAACCGAGCAGCAGATGTACAGAGTACTGCTCCAAAAATGCTGCTGGATGCTCCAAATTCATCCTGCAGCACAGTGAGGGTCTGTCTGCTGGGATGCAGGAGGAACAAGAAGTCTCTGATGCAGTGAGAGATGTAGCACCAATATATTAAGTAGATTTAGATACAGTCTTCTCCCCTTTGGTTTTTTACCTTTCAAACACACATTGTATCAATACAGTGGCTCTGCTTGGCTCCAGCAGAGAGAATGTGGCAAGGACCAAGATTTCTGATTACACTTTAATTGATCTGTGAGTAGAATTTCTTTGGGAGAATAAAGTAACCTTTGATACAGCTGAAAAATACACTGCTGCTCAGTGCTGCCAAGAATTGAGCCACGTGTCCTCAGGAACTCGGTCCAGAGCCTGCCTGCTTCCCACGATAAAAGAAAATTCCCAAAATTTTCTTGTATTGCACTATTTTTGTTTCTGATTAAAATTAGGATTTGCTCTGATAACAAGAGAATGTGCAGTGAGTCCGTCTCAGAGATGAGCCATGAAGACAGCTGCAGGGAAGAGCAGACTGGCTTTTCCCAGTTTGGGACTCGTGGTGGGACTCTACCTGATGAGCCAAGATATAAATGTTGTGTCCCACGTTCCTCGGAGACGCCGCGACATCTTCCCCGTTCTCCCCATCCTCAAACTCCACCTCTCCCTGCAGATAGGCCTTCTTGATCACCTCCACCTGGACAAGGAGACAGGCAAGGAGAGGAGGCTCAGGCAAAGGGTGGGAGCTGCTGAGGGCAGCACACCCTCAGTACTCCTGTGGATGGGAATGGAGCAGAGCAGGGACATCCCAAGGGAGCTCAGTGGATAGGTCTGGATAAAGTGAACTCTGCTTCAGCCCAGCTCACTGGCTCAACAAACTGAACCTCACATTTCCCTGAAGGTAACATGTTCCAGGCCACCCTCTGTGCACCTGCACCACGTTCAGAGCCCAGCTCCAACGCAGCCCCGAGCACTGGGACGAGCCAGTGGTGCTCGGGCTGTGCTTTGGATCTCCTGCTTGTGTTTCACCAGTCACACATGAACCAGCCCCAGAACCCTGCTAGGGCTCACAGGACAGCTCTGGGGCCACAGGGACTGTCACTTCTCTGTCTCCTGGGCAAATGAAGGGTCAGGAGCTGGGGAGGGGTGCTGGGACTCACCAGCTCCTTGGGCCTCATGTTGTAGAGGATCCTCTCCGCGTTCTCGCTGTCGTGCCTGCTCTCCATGATGGCCAGGAGCAGCTTGGAGGCGTTGTTCTGAGGGCAAGGAAAAGCAATGGAATCACTGCCAGGAGCAAGAAATGAGGGTACCCAGCCTGAGTGGCACCACTGTGCTGCCAGAAGGGCTTCAGGGGCACGGGTCCCACAGGCAGCAGGCAGAGTGTGCCAGCCAGCCCAGGGCTGTCACAGCCTCACCTCACCCAGCCCTCCCTCTCCTCTCATTACACAACTTAACAGGGTTTTTTAGCAGTTTATTCCCCAAATCCTACTCATTGAAAGACATCAAATTAACCCTAGCCAAGGTTTAAATTTCTAAAAAGGCTGCTGTTTCATGCTTGTGTTGTTTTGTTTTGATTTAAGGATACTGCAGCATCACCACAAGCTCCGAGCTCCCAAATGGTGCAGCTCAGCTCTGCTGAAGATGCTGCTGATTAAATCAAGGGACAGCCAGGGCTGAAGACACAGATGTGCTTTGCTGCTTTTAACTGAAATCACTCTGCAGTCTGCTCACGCCAAGGAACACAGGGAGGAAATGGGAAACTACCACAAGGCACCAGACTACTTTAATACGAACAATTAAGATTAAAATCCATCATGCCTGACAATAAAACCCAATAAAAGTATTTAATTTTGAAGTATAATGCTAATCGAGTCTAAAAGCATTTTTTATTTACAATAATAAAAAACCCACATTACCCATAATAATGGTGTGAGTCGGCAACGGAAAACAAGGAGACTCTGCAGTGTCAGTCAGGGCAATAAGTCAAAAAGGAAATATTTCTCAAGCACAGGCTGAAGCAAGAGTGCTCTGGGACTGCTGTTGCTAGAGGGGAACCTGCTCCTGTGTTTTTGTGTTTTGAAACCAGCAGCAGGGCTAATTATTTCAGCATTAATATGGATGGCTATAAAGAATTGTTGATTTCATGTCAACCTATTAAACAACACCAATAAAGTGTTAAGAAAGTATTTGCAACATGAGAAATTTCACTTGCACTGTCCACGTAAAAGCTCAGCAACAACAGAAGAGTTTTCATCAGCTTTAGATTTTTTACAGGAAGCAATTTTAGGATTCCTCAGCATATTCTGACTGCCTGCATTCCCCATCTGAGAACTGGTGGCTCCATGTCATCATTTAGAAGACGAAATACCTGTGACAAACCATCTTTGGGCACTGCCTGCAGCTCACTGATGTATATAATTTTTGGGCACTTATGAATACTGGGATATAACAAACACCCACATAATTCTAACAGTAAAATCACATTTTATCCCACTGTTAACGTGCCTCACACAGAGCATTCACTTGCCTTCAGCTCCAACACGAGGTCCATCCTCTTCTTTCCCAGAGGGTTGATGTCATTGAGAATTAATGCTGTGATGATGTCAATGCCGTTGGACTCGTGGGTAGCAATGCAGTTCTGTCCAAAGAAAAGTCATCAGGCTTCACTAATTGCCTGCACTACAAACACAGCCCGGGCTGGTGACCCCTCCAGAGTCCCCTCTGTCATCACCTCGTGGGCTGCCCGAGCTGGAAAACTGCACACAGAGCTCCAGGCAGGGCAACAACAAAAGATTTAAGGCATTTTGTTCCAAGCTCTTCCTCTCCTCAGCCATGGTCCTACTGGAGCCCCCGGCCTCAGGAAGCACAGAGAACCACAGCTGATAAATGAAGCATTTCCATGCCAAAGCCTGCAGGCTGGAGGAACAGTGTTTTGCTGAGATTAGGGAGAGTTTTCTTAATTATAAACGTGCCAATCAACACCTACTTCAGCGCTGTCTGCACAAAGAAAGGGAATTTCCATAACCTCCTGCCTACCCTTCAGCCCTGCTCTTGGAATGGTCTGTACCTAAAATGTACAAACAGCAGCGTGCTGGCTTCAAAAACCAGAGAGAGATTCCTGTTCTGTCACTGAACTCCACACCTAGAACACCTGAAGGGTTTTATTCCACCTGATCCAGAGAGCAGAGGGACACTGACAGTTCTCCCTGGCATGCACAGCCTCACACATTCTCATGCAGAGACCAAGACAGAAGAATCACATCCCAGTCTTTCAGGACGATATTATGGTTCAATTAATAAGGAAATGGAGAGAATAAGCAGAAACTGGCACAGGGTGCCCAGAGCAGCTGGGGCTGCCCCTGGATCCCTGGCAGTGCCCAAGGCCAGGCTGGACAGGGCTTGGAGCAGCCTGGGACAGTGGAGGTGTCCCTGGGACAGTGGGAGGTGTCCCTGCCATGGCAGGGGATGGCTTTAAGACCCCTCCCAACCCAACCCATTCTGGGATTATATCAAGTACAGCAATTCCCCACTCTCCCTGTGCAGTCTAATGAAACAGATCTTAGCAAAGCAGAAATACTTCTACTGCTTTGAGTGCTTCAATTCCTCAGAGGGGGCCCTGAGAAAAACTCCTCATAATCAACTTGTCTATAAAGGAAAAAATCCTCCAGCTTGGGGGGGAAACAAAGTGAGCAGTGCTGTAAGACAACAGCAGGCTGGCAGAGCTGGGGCCCAGGGAGAAGGGGGATGCATTTCCCAGCTCTGGGTTCATTACCTGGTTCTCGTGGCAGGGCCCCTGGCAGTACTCAGTCAAACTTTCCAGCGTCTGGTTGATCAGGGCCACGTTTTTCTCATTTATATACAGACCCAGGAGTCCAAGTCCCCCAGTGGTGCTCCCACAGATGCAGTCCAGGAACTGCAGTGTCTCACACACCAGGTTGTAGTTTGTCTTGTTGTTCTGGCAGCGTAGGAAATTCTGTGAGGAGAGTGTCAAAGCCATGAGGGAGGGGAAAAACCATGCAAAATGCTGTTTGGCTGATAGTATTTATTAAGTCCATCCATCCCCAATTCCACTGCATGGTGGATTGCTCTGGCTCACTGTACAAGCAGTTTAAGTCTCTTTCCAGGGCTTATTTGCAACGTGCTGCTCTCCTGAGCAGCTTGTTGGCTTCATGCTGTACAGCAGTGAACAGAGTGCACCCCTTAAGCAGAGAGATCCATTAGAGCCTGACACACCCAGCACAGAGCAGGCACTCTGGGAAGCTCTCTGCAGCCTGGAAGCTTCACTCCACCTGCTGCACTTCCCTGGCCAGCAGCACTCAAGGCTCCCTCCTCCCAGACCTCTCTGGATTCCCTGGCTGGGGTCTCACAGCAGCTCCCCCTGCACAGGAGGGACCTGAGTGCACACCCTGAAGGAAGGTGCCTTAAGATGGAATTCTCTCCACTGCATTTCCTTCCACATAATTATTGTGATTTCTGCTTGAAGCTGCTGATTAGGAGCAGCTCTTCTAATGAAAAGCCAGATTTGCCACTGTGGATGTAACAGCTTTCTACTCTCCTATATTCCAAATAAAGGAAAGCACCAAACCCACCCAAAACTGAAGGACAACTAATGAAAACCAATCTCCCAGTGACTCAGATGCTGTTTGCCAGTGCATTGCCAGCAGTGCTGCAAAGATTAGCAGCCACTACCACTTGCTTTTCCTTCAAGTTTCAGCAGGAAAACTCTTATTTAGCTTAATTCTAACAGGTAACAGCAATTCCAGGGTGAAAAAGCCCTCAGAGGAACAGGAGCCATGGAGTATGGAACCAGCAGGGTCTTTCCTGCCAGCCCAGAGAGCAGCACTGGTCCCTGGCTGTCTCTGCCTGAGTCAGACTAATGATTCTTTTAAGGCAAACAGAGAGAGAAATTGCAGATTCAATGGAAGGCGAAGCTAAAAAAGGAAAAACGCTGTCTGTGAATGCAGACTAAAGGTGACAGTGATTCAGCACATTTCAGCTGATTGCTCATTTAGTATCTGACTTCTGATTAACTTGTCAGAATGTAATAAAGGTTGATCCTACAGAAATTGGAGCTCGTGTCTTCCCTCCAGAAAAAAAAGCAAAATTAAAGGATAATACCCAAAGTGAGGAAGTAAAAATGCTCCCTGACTGCAGCACAGCATTTATTCTGATTGCAGCTAAGCTTGTACCTGAGCTGCCTGATCCACAGTCAGCAAGCAGAGAAGAGGAATGAGGCACAAGAGGCAGGAGGACATTGTTAGGCTGAAACAAGGGGAAGGAAAAAATTGTAGAAAACAAACCCCTGCTGCACTGTGAGAAACTGCCCCAGGGAGTGTCTGCTGCTGTCTCAGCCAGGACAGAGTGAACTCTTCATTTTCAGAGCAGGCTATGCAGTGGGAACACAGCTCTGCAGTGCTGAGTGTGCCACCCCACTGCTCCCCGTGGGAATGACCCCGAGGTGTGCAGACCCTGCACCAGAACCAGCAGCCACAGGCAGGTCCAGCTGGAACACGTGGGAATCATCCACCTGCTCATCCCAGCCCTGCATTCATTTGGAGAGGGTACTGCAGCTCCTGCAGCCCCATGCAGGGCTGTGGAACAGCATCCAGTGGAGCAAACTGGGGCTGTATCTGGGCAGGGAAGGGCTGTCTGATGCAGAGGGCACAGCACTGCAGCTGCCCGAGCACGCAGAGACCTCCTCTTCCTCCTCTGCACAGCAGCTCCTCCAGCACAACTGGCACTGCCCTGTGTTTGCCCATAAGCTCCCACAGCTGCCAACAGCCTGGAAAGGCTCAGGGTGCCCAGCACACACCTGCACCAGGCAGGTGATCCCAACTCCTTGTTCAAATATAATTCTGGGAGCCACTCCTGGAGAGCCCTGCCCTGGTCCTTCAGGCAGCGAGTCCTCTGGCACTACTGCAGGGAGCTCAGTTACGTGTACCAGCTGCAGACACCAAGATTTTGGAGGATCAGACACTTCTGCCTTCCCTTTGGGGCTGAGGGAGAAAGACAAACCTCGAGGCAGGCGGGCAGAAAGAGGATTACACTGGAAGAGCTGTTCTACCTTGCATTCATTTGGACAGGGTACTGCAGCTCCTGCAGCCCCATGCAGGGCTGTGGATCAGCATCCAGTGGAGCAAACTGGGGCTGTATCTGGGCAGGGAAGGGCTGTCTGATGCAGAGGGCACAGCACTGCAGCTGCCCGAGCACGCAGAGACCTCCTCTTCCTCCTCTGCACAGCAGCTCCTCCAGCATGACTGGCACTGCCCTGTGTTTGCCCATCAGCTCCCACAGCTGCCAACAGCCTGGAAAGGCTCAGGGTGCCCAGCACACACCTGCACCAGGCAGGTGATCCCAACTCCTTGTTCAAATATAATTCTGGGAGCCACTCCTGGAGAGCCCTGCCCTGGTCCTTCAGGCAGCAATTCCTCTGGCACTACTGCAGGGAGCTCAGTTACATGTACCAGCTGCAGACACCAAGATTTTGGAGGATCAGACACTTCTGCCTTCCCTTTGGGGCTGAGGGAGAAAGACAAACCTCGAGGCAGGCAGGCAGAAAGAGGATTACACTGTAAGAGCTGTTCTACCTTTTTTGTTGTTATTGGTGTTACAAAAAGAAATCCCTTTTTCTCTCAGAGCCGACTACAACTACCTGCTGTTTGGGAAAAGGGATTGTTCAGGACAGGGAGGAGCTCAGGCCAAGTTTCTGCACTGGCTGCAATCCAAGTGTGCTCCTATAGCTGCGGGTGCCTCGCCAAAGGCAGCAGCGGATCCTGCGCGTGCGGTTTGGAACCGCGCCACGGGAACGGCACCGCCAGCGGCAGGAAAATCCTCTGACAAAACACACATCAAAGGGCTCTTTTTCTTCAAAATGAGAGAAAGGCTGATGTATGTAACCTGGGCACTCAGAGATGCTCCCAGAAGGTTTCCATGCAGCTGGGATCCCACGTGCTGCCGGGGCATTCCCGCTCAGGGGAAGCGGTTTGGCAGCTCTGCAAAGCTCTCATGCAGGGTCCCACGCTCCTGCCGGCCAGGGAACAATGGGCAATCACGGCAATTATTGCTCTTTCTGAGGGTATTTAGCACATTGTACAGCACCTCTCCAGCTCCTCCATCCCAGCTCGGCAGCACTGAACAAAAATCATCTGAATTGCAGCCCCTTTGTAAGGGGGAACCTGCTCTGGGCTCCCTGGAATTCTACAAACACGTCCCAGGGCAGCACAGGACACCGAGGCTGCCAGGACCTTTGGACACTGCCAACTCCATCCCCTGTCACGAGGCAGCTGGAGCAGAGCCTGGCCCGTCCTCTCCACATCCCCCATCAGGTGTTTGCACACATGGGGAGAGATCCTGAGCCTTCTCCTCTCCAGCCTGACTTCTCCCAGCTCCCCTGCCTCTCCTTGCCCATCAGATGCTCCAGTCCCATGATCATCTCTGACACTCCCTGCTGGACTCGGGAGCCCAGGACTGGAGCCAGAATTCCACACAGAGCCTGGGGCATCCAGCTTGTTTAGGTGCACATCCAGCTTGTTTAGATGCTTCCCACCCCGATCCTCCACCAAGGGTAAGACTCCCTTGCTCCACACCTCGCCAGGGTCTCAGGGATGTAGGGTTGGTGAAGGCCCTTACCAGCAAGGGGCAAACTGAAGGTGGCACTGAGTTCCCTGACCTTCTCCATGTCCTCTGTCACCAGGGGCTGTCCCCATTCCACAGCAAACCCACCTCTGCCTATCTCCTCCTGTGTGGATACAACCTTGAAATCCTTCTCATTGTCCTTCATGTCCCTCAGCAGATTCATCTCCAGCTGAGGTTTTCCTAACACCTTTACCACGTGTTCAACTCTAGCTAGGCACATGAACAGATCCAAGAAAATCCAGGAGAGCCTGGTTACTGGAAAGTTAAGCTTTGAATGCTGCTGGAACCAAAGTCCCAATGCCTTCTTCATTTTCCTACATGATTTTTCTTTATTTCTTTCCCTCTGCTTTCGAAAACAAATCTGTAACTTCAGAGTACAACACCTGCTTGCTTTCAACACATACTTTTTAAAAGCCCCAAGAAGTGCTGATCCCACCACCTTTAATATATGTACCTTTCAAAGACCACTGGATAACTGGATTTGCTCGTATCAGTCCAGCAAGGTATAAATACTTTTTTTTTTTGGATTAATGTCAAGACCAAAGAGAATAATTGGCCACGTAATCCATTTAAAAAAGGCCTGGGATTAGGGATAATGTTGTGGCAGCAGTGAGAGCACAAGGCACCCTGAGCACAGCTGCCCGGAGCCAGGCGGTACCTGCAAGTCCCGGTTGTGGTTTTCACAGAGCAGCTGCAGGAAGCGCAGGATGGGCTGCATGATGGAGATGACAGCACTCATCTCCAGCTCATCTTTGCTCTTGTCTGCTGCAGCCTGGGCTCCCTCCCCTGCCGAGTAGTGCTCCTCGGGGTCGGCCTCTCTCCGGTAGGTGTTGTACGCCTTGCGCGTGGCCGCGGACGCCTCCAGCAGCTGGTCCCGCACCTCCTCCGTGATCTGGGTCATGGGCTCCCTCACTGCAACACACCAGGACACATCTTCCTTAGGGAAGCTGGATAAGGAGGGCCAGGAAATCTGTCCACACGGTCCCCTGGCAGCTTCACCCGCAGGCCCAGCTGTTGAGCAGCAGCTCTTTGGTGAGTATGTTTAGTGTAGGAGAAGGGCTCGTGCCACACTCTGCACCTCGGACCAACCACAGCAGGGTTACAAACCTGGGGATTAATTAGTTAGGGCACACACATCTAGCACGAGCAGCAGTTATGGTAAAAGGACCTGCTTCAGAACAAAATTAGGGTTTCTTCACTTATTGTTAGAGAAGGCACTGACCACAACCCACGGCCCGGGGTTGTTCCTATGGATCAGATTTGGGCAGCTTGTCACGAGACAAGGCAGCAGAGTCTCAGCTCAGAAAGACTTCTCCTCATTTCAATAGCACAACCTCACAAATGGATGAAGAGGGGATGAAGCTCTCGAAATCCTGAGCCAGGGCACCACTGATCTCTGAACTTTGCTCTGTGGGATCAGAGATCAGAGCATTATTGCATCAATTGAAATGAGTTCAAAACACACTCCCTGTCACTTCAGAAAGGGAATGACTGGGGATTACCTCTTTTCCTGTTGGGGACATCTCTGTCCGAGTCTTCATCTTTCTTTTTGTTTCCTAAGTCACTGGTGTTGACTGTGACAGTTGCCTTGATTTCTTGCTGTGCCACTTTCATGCGGTCATAAAAAACCTTAAAGAACTTCTCAGATTTCTTATCTTCCGTCAGTCGGCAGAAGAAGGAATGCTACAAGAGAAAAGGAACAGCATCTGTAGCTCCACACACAGGTCTGAATCCAGACAATTCCACCTTTCTGCACTGTGTGGTATCCTGCAGGACTGGGAGCTTCATTAGCTGTCAGTAAGCTGAAACTTACAGCAGAGGAAACTTGTAGCTTATTGTGGGGCAGCTCCCAGTGTCTCAGCTTGGTTAAATCCCTCATTAACAACTTCAAATGCAGGTTTAAAGAGAAGTGAGGGCAATAAATCACACCAGCCTGATACAATTGGGCAGCACACCTCACTCTCAACAAGGGAGATAAGGTAAGTACCAGGAATTAAAGTAAGGAGAAGGGAATTCCCTATAATTTGATTATCAGCGCAGAAACAAATGGTTATGGGCAAAAAATAGAAGAAGAACTGTCCTGCCTTCCCACCCTCAAATCCAAGGGACTGTGACTCACAACACGCAAAAGCCAATGTTAATCACAGTCCAAAAATGTACAAACAAGGCGATGCCATGAGGGACATCTCGTGCTGAGTTTCCCCTGCCCTGCCTGCAGCAGGCTCCTTAAAACTCCTTTTAGTTCCCACTCCAATGTATCTTTAAGTGACAGAAAAACTCAAAGCACTGAGTACTTTTAGGAAGGTTTATTACTCTTCTTCTGCACATATGTGCACAGAGACAGAAAGTTCTCCCTAAAATCGAGGAGAATACAAATCATGCACAGGTCAAGAAGGAGCCAACACAGTGAGTGATCAGACAACTCTTGATGAAACCAATATGCTGTTACATAAATCAGGACCAGAGCTTAAACACGACTGAAGGATGAACTTGTAAGTGGGTCACCTTATGCAGAGCATTATGAAATTAGTTAGCATTCTGCAGCGGCTCGCCATCCAACAGCTTTACATGATGAATAGGAATGAAGGCTGATTTATTGAAAAAACAAATTAAAATGGGAACAGCAATATATCCTGCCCGCTCTGCTGTGGAGCACACGGGGCCGTGGCTGCTGCTGCCTTTGATCACTCCAGCAGCTGCACGGAGAACACTCGGAGTGACTTTGAACACTCCCAGAGCTGAGCCTTTGATTACTGCCAGAGCAGGAGTGTGGCTATTTAAAGAACGTGGTCAATATTCAGGAGATATCCCTCCCAGCACGGCAATACCTCCCACCTGCCCTTAGCACTCAGGTAAACTCTGAAGATTGTGGTTATTTCTGGTGATTAACAGAGAGGAGGGAAAGGAGAACAACCCAGGACAGACATCCCAAATCCAGTCACAGCAGTACCCCCTCCTGACACCCAGCCAGAGTCCAGCAAAGCAGAGCTGCCAGAGCACTGCAGGACATGCCCTCTGCCCAAACACTGCTGGGCCTGTGATGTGCCCAGGGTGATCGGGGTGCCCAGCTCATTTATTAGTGTTGGTACAGTAGAAATAAAATATCCAATCCAAGACTTTCTATCAACAATTTGAATGTTTTCTCATCATGTTTTCCCATGAGGGCTGACTTAGATTAGGTACATTCAAGGAATTCTTCCCTGCAAAGGGGGCGAGGCTGACCAACACCCCCTCAGTAACTGGGGCGTTGAGGCAGCCAAGCCTGAACTAACTCTGTGACTTGGTGGCTACAAGGACAGAGAGAGGAAGAGTTTGTATCCAAGGAGCATCTTGGAAATTTCACTCTACAAAGACTTCAAACAGTAACAACAACAATAATTTACAGATAGACCAGCAGAAACCACAAGCTCTAAAAAGGCCAAACACTTTCCAAAAAATTTGGTTGTCAGGCAGCAATGGCCATGACCTGGGTGCCACATCTGCAGAGCCCAGACAGGAGGAATTCCCCTGTGATGAAGCTGTGCTGAAGGAAAAGCCTTTTTCTAATGAACCACACTAAAGAAATACCTTTTATGAGAGTAATCACTTCTTGCTGACAGACTTGATTTTTGTCATCTTTTCAAGCTTCTTAACTGAGTTTCCACTGCACTTCAGAGAAAAAAAACCCCAAATGAAAGGAGCATTTCCAGTAAAGCTTTTTGTGCATGCTGTGCATACACTGAAGGGGTGTCACCAAATGATTGTTTCAGTTTAGGTCAGGATGCCTAACACCTTCACACATATGAATCAACCACATGCCAGCTCCCAAAGATACTGTATTTTAAGAGGTGTGATCTTGCAAGTTGCGCTTGAGCAGGTAACGGGTGGTGATAATTATGACAGAAATCCTAAAATCTTATTTACAGATATAGCCTCCAAGCAGAAAGTGGAGAAATCTCCCTTTTTAAAACGGAAATCGAGTGGCCATTTTAGAGCACCGTCTGCTGGGGTCCTGGCTTGTGTACAGACACCACGGAACCACGGGCTGCTGAAAGAGCAAGTGTGGAGGAACAGCCATCCTCCACACTCCTGTGGGATTTTGAGGAATGGAGCTTGAAACATAGCCCTGACACTGCAGCATGTGACACCAGCCATCCCTGAGGATCCACTCACCATCACACTGGGGTCTGGGAGCTCCTAAAAACCTGCTGCAGGCAGGGAACTGTGTCCCATAAGGAACCAGGAGGGGCTGTGTCTGGCTGTCCCAGCAGGGAAAAGCTGTATGAGAGCTCCATCTGGTACTGGAGACATGGGCAATGAAGGCCAGAGAGGGATTTGTGACAAAGGCATGGAGGGACAGGACACAGGGAATGGCTTCCCACTGCCAGAGGGCAGGGATGGATGGGATTTTGGGAAGAAATTGTTCTCTGGGAGGGTGGGCAGGCCCTGGCACAGGTGCCCAGAGCAGCTGGGGCTGCCCCTGGATCCCTGGAAGTACCCAAGGCCAGGCTGGAGCACTCGGGGCTATTGAAGGTGTCTCTGCCATGGCAGGGATTTGGAAGTAGATGATATTTAAAGTCCCTTCCAACGCAAAGCATTCTGGCATTCACAGAAATTGCATTTTATTTCAGCCTTGCACTGTTAATGTCTGTTAAGTCATCACCCCTGCACAGAGCCATGGCAGGGCCACAGCAGCCTGGGAGCTTTGCTCCATGGACTCAGGATCAGCAAAGAGCTTTTCAAGTGCCCCAGCCCAGGAAGCCCAGGTGATCTCCAGAGAACAGCAGCCTCCCGAGCACAGGAACCACGGCCCAGATAATGGGATGGTAATTAATGACACAGCCTCAGAAGGAAACACAGACCCACCCCACGTGACAAGAGTGTCTGACAGGACAGACACCCACTGTGAGCAAGGACATCACCACAGAGCTCTCCATCATTTCTAAGGAGGGAGCAACCACCTCCTGCACACATGCACTGTTCTTTCCAAGGGGATGGAAGGAGAACCCAGCACATCTGCAAAGCAGCCACACCACTGCTCCTCCTGACACCCAGATTAGAGCACCACAGAGCAGATCAACCGATAACACCAGCTACCAGGAAAGCTGTGGAAGAACTTCCTTTCCTCTCCATCACCCAACTCCGTTCCTAAGGGATTCCAGCCAGAAGCCTCATGCACAGCAGGACCTCCCCCTTCCTCCTCTGCCCCTCCAGTGCATCCCCTCTGGATGGATGGGATCATCAGCAGGAGGTCAGGAAGTAAACCCCACCATCACCTATGACTTTATCTCCTGGTGCACAGCACAAGTGGCAGAAGAAGAGGTGCAAATCCAGAGATGGATTTCTCTGGAAAAGAAACCAAAGGCCAAGTTCCAGCTGCAAGACCTTGACCTGCTACAGCCCTGCCCACCCTGAAGCAGCAGCAGCCCCTCGAGCTCCCTCACTGACCCTGTGTTTCATGTGTTCTCTTGAGAAAAGAATCCTGTCTTTCTTGAGCAAGTGTCAGAGATGATGAACTACGTCTCTCTATGGTCTGTTCCAGTGGTTAACAACTGTTAGAAACATGTGGTTAAGCTCTTTTTTATGTCACTAACTTCCAGTCACTGATGTTTTCTTAAGTCTGTGTCTCTTCTGTAGTTATTCCCAGGAACCTGGTCTCCTCTTCCCTTCTGACTATTTACATACTCTGTGAAATGTTTACCTAACTGAAAACACCATTTTTGCTTGCTGACTTTTTATTGATCATTAATATAATTTTCTGTGGTGGGTATTTTTTGGCATGTTCTTAAATATTGCAAATCATTAACAAGCTGGATTGTAAAATCACATTAAAAAAAATAAATCACCAAAGAATGGGCACATTTCCTGGCATTAACATTTAATTCTAAGACCTTTGACATATTTAATATATAAAATTTCTAATGATGAGTGGAAGAGAAGCTCAGCTAACTCCCCAGCAGTTCAGAGGGGCAGGATTATGGAGGCAGGATAACCACAGGGCAGGGACAAATGTTCCTTAACGTGTCTCTCATACCAGCAGTCAGTAACAAATTAGATTTTAGCCAGCAGAACTGACATCTGTCCTGTGGAGAGTGAAACCATACAGCACTGCAGTCTGGTACCTTTGTGTAAGGTGCACAGAGGACACACCCAGGTAACTAATCCACTCTAAATGTAACTAATCCACAGTAAATTTAATGATGAGCGAGCTTGTGCCCAGTGTAGGATTGTTAAACGGAAAAAAAACCTCAGGCAGCAGCTGAAGGCAGCTGATTTCTAGCTCCTGCCTCTGAAAGCCTCGCCAGTTTGGGCTGTGTGTGCTGCCCCCTTTGCTGGGAACACCTTTCCCTACCCTGTCACTGGGAACACCTTTCCCTACCCTGTCGCTGGGAACACCTTTCCCTACCCTGTCACTGGGAACACCTTTCCCTACCCTGTCACTGGGAACACCTTTCCCTACCCAAGTCACGACTGCTCTGCCACCCAAGAGAAGGAACAACGCTCGGATTGTTTCTCGCGGAGCAGCTTGACTTTCCACCGCAGACTCCTTCCAGGCTGGGCTGTGTGGCTGATCCCCGGAGAAGCAGCAGCACAAGGCAGCAGTTGAAGCAAAGGCCGGGGCTCCAGCAGGCTCTGCTCAGCTGTGTTTGCTCCCCACGAGGGGTGGCCTGGCCTGAGGCAGCCTTGGCTGCAGGAGCCACCCC